GTATCACATGTTCTCATTTATAAGCAGACCCTGAACATCTATCATACTACTATAGGAAAGCATCGGCAGGAGCCGGAAACTGCCAAGGGAGGGTGGGTAGGGAAAGGACATACAACACCAATAAGGGAACCTATGTACCTAACCCTGAACTGCACGCCACACCTTTAAAAGAAAAAAGAAAAAGAAACAGAACTGCCATCGGACCCAGCGATCCCACTACTGGTCATGTACCCCCAGGAAATCAAATCAGTGCATCCAAGAGGCATCTGCATTCCGTGTTCTTTGCAGCATCACTCACAACAACCAAGACACGGAATCAACCCAAGTGTCCATCAACAAATGAATAGACAAAGAAAATGTGGTGTGTATTGCTAGTTAGCCTTTTTTACAAGGAAAGTCTATCATTTGTGATAACATGGATGGATCTGGAGGAAGTTACGCTTCATGCAATAAGCCAAGCACAGAGACAAAAATGCATAATCTTACCTACATGTGGATGCTTAAAAAGTCAAACACACAAAAGCAGAGAGTGGAAGGATGGTTGCCAGGGGCTGGCAATCAAAGGGCTTGGGAGATATTGGTTGAAGACCACGGAGTTTCAGCGCGACAGGAGGAGGAAGGTCAAGAGATGCACAGCATGATGATGACAGGTAGTAGCAATACACTTAAAAATTGCTTAGAGTGTTGATTTTAAGTGTCCTTACCAAGAAAATGGTAAGTTTGTAAAGCAATGCATGTGTTAATAGCTTGATTTAGTCATTCTACAATACACATAAAAAAGTCATGTGGTAATTTCACAAAAAATATAATTTTTACCTGGCAATTATTTAAAAAAGAAAAACCTTTGTGGCTCATGTATGAAAAATATCTAGCAAAGCCTACTAAACTTCTAAAAGCTTATAAGGACATATCAGTGGTCAGCAAATTTTCTCTGTAAAGGTTCAGATGATAAATAATTTAAGCTTTTCAGGACATTTTTGTCGCTACTGTAACTACTCTTTTAGAGTAGTGCAAAAGCAGTGATAGACAATACAAAATCAAGTTAGTGTGGTTGTTTTCAATGAAGATTTGCATATGGAAACAAAGTTGAATTTCATCAATTTTCACACATCATAAAATATTCCTAAAATTTTTTCCAACCATTTAAATATGTAAAAGCTATTCTTAAGACTACGAGATGTATAAAAACAGGTAGTGAGTCACATGCGGGTCACCATTTACTGCCCTGTGGGATACACAGCCTTTACAGTCTTGGGAACTAAGACATGAAGTAAGGTCCATACAGACGCACTCAACCTCTGACCAGTCTCTCTTCTCTCATCTCTCTCAACCTCCATTGCTCACAGCTTAAACCTGTAAGTTGCTTCCACAGAAGACAGAGACAACAGTTGAAGCTTTAAAAAACAAAAATCCAGTAGCAATTAAATCAAACAAACAAGAAAAAACAGGAGTGTCTTGTGGAAAGACAGTAAAACTAAAACTGGAAAATGACCCCAGGGGAAGTCTTCCAGCTCTGATCATCCAGTGACTCACGAAAGACTCTACACATCATTTTCCAAGACCAGATGCAATCAGGCACATTCGGGATGGGATGGCCGCAGACATTTTGAAAAAAATATTAAAAGTTAAGAAGCATCCATACTGAAACATTTTTAGGAAGGTAAAGAATTATAGTTCATTTAAGTTTTTAATGTCTATTAGGCCATGCAGCCTGTTTTTTAGTTCTAACTTAGCTGAGAACAGTGATATCAGAATAGGAGCTCTATAACTAGAGAGAAGTCACCACCAAACGTTTGCAGCCTATTCTTCTGGAGGAAATTTTGAAACACAAAGTCATTAGGAAATTAGCAGATATGTAGACCTAGCTTTTTGTTTGTGGACATTCCTAAACATTGCTAATTAAATTCTTCTGGCATTACAAACATTTAGACCAGGCATGGTGGTGCACATCCCAGTCATCCCAGCACTTTGGGAGGCTGAGACAGGAGGACTGCTTAAGCAAGACCAGCCTGGGCAACATAGAGAGACCTCGTCTCTACAAAAACATCTAAAGGTTAGCCAGGCATGGTGGTGCATGCTATAAGCCCAGATACTCAGGAGGCCGAAGTGGAAGGATTGCCTGAGCTCAGGAGGACATGGTTGCATGAGTTGTGGTCATGCCGCTGCACTCAAGTCTAAGTGACAGAGTGCCACCTAGCTCAAAAACAAACAAACAAAAGAAACCCCGCGACTTTCAAGCCTGGCATGGTGGCCCATGCCTACAGCCTCCGCTTCTCAGGAGACTGAGGTAGAAAGCTTGCTGGAGCCCACGAAGATCACCCAGGTGAGTGGCCGCCATTCCCCAGCCTGGGCAACACAGAGACCTCCATCTTGAGAACAACCAGCCCCCCACTTCTGATCTGCAGTAATGTAAGAAGTAAAAATGGTATGTCTTATTTAATCCATCAGTCACATTTCTTCTAGAAACACTGGAAGAAAAATTAATGCCAGTTCATCACTTCATGACCCAAACACACAACGTTAAAAAGTAATTCTAAACTCTAAATTATTCAAAACTTCTACATAACTTCCAAAATTTTCCCCCATTGGGCAATCTTCTCCATAGCTGGTTTAGAGTAGAATTTTTACATTTTACAAATTACTGATGATTACAAGAAAACCAGGTTTACAGACTAGGAATAATATTTACAATTTAATAACTATTACTGAGGGCCTATCATACAGTAGTCATCTATAGCAAAATTACCCAAAGAAACTAATATTCACAAATATTCTGACTTTGTGAATATTTTTAAAATATTCACAAAATTAAATTCAAATTTAATTGAATGAAATTTCAAAATTTCTCTGACAGTTCAAGAATTCTCCCTGTTTTAACATGCTAACTTGGTCATCAAGACTTAGATGTTATAGGTTAACAGTCAACAAGATTGTTAAATATGCTGGCTAAGTTAAAAGGCCAAATGCCTTGAGATTAAATGTAGCCAAAATTAGACTAAATGCATACTGCTTTGACACTAGAATGGTCTTTTTTTCCCCCCAGTTTTAGCTTAAAAATAAAATCTCTACCTTGCAGTATCAACACATGAAATTTCCTTTAATTGTCACCTCTTTTTTTCCTACTACAGTTTCCTCCAGACAACAAAGGTGGCAAAAACTATGTCTGTTCATTTTACAACAGAATGTTATTGCTTTAATTGTTTCTTCAGACCGCTTTGTTACCACCAGCACACTCATGGCATGTTTTGAATATCATGCTCTAATCACACAAGTGTGGAAACTTTTTTATAGTACTATTAAACAATACATAAATAATGTTCTATAATAGTTCTTCAGGAAAAAAAAAATACCTGGAAAGGAAATAAATCTTTTTATAACCATATATTCTGTTTTGTTTAACAAATTTTAGAAAACCTAACAAGGACAAAGACTTCTGATGCCGCATATATCATGTGAGTAGTAACAAAAACATCGTTAAGAAAAAAATCCATGTTCCGCCTGTATATGGAATTCTACCTGAAATAGAAATGCGTTAACTATTAAAACTTTTTTACAATTACCACTGAATATTTAGAGTAGTTTTTATTTTTCCACAGCCAAAGACTATATGCCACACATTTAGACTGCGGTTCAGTGTAGTCAATTCAAAGCTGTACTTGAAAGCGCAATACACCACTTAAAAATACTCTTGAAAGATATTCACCAATTGTTTTGCTAATGATTTTATTATTTCACCTATTGCAAATTAAATATTATAAATTTTGAAAAATTTGAATCCTAAGTTAAACAAGTTAGGACCCTCCCTCCTAATAATCAAATGGAAGTACAACTGTGCCTAATTAGCAAGCAACTTTTGCTATCTTAAATGTATTCCTCCAATATTAGGTGGTTAAAAAAATTAAATTTCTACTGTTAAAAAAGCAGCCAAAGTATTTGTATATTTGTATATGAAATGCACACACTTCCATACAAACTCTTAAATATATATGTTTGCATATGTCTACACTTCTCTCTGAAGCCTCTTGAAGCAAACCTTAACTAGTCAAGAGGTGTTGGTTTGCAACAATATTGCTACTTAAAACACTTTAAAAAAATTAAATGCTTTTAAAACTGAGGCATTAGAGGTAACATTTTATAAAGGATCAAAAAATGTCTAGAAACTTGGCAAGTTATTCCCTAAACTTTTATTTATCATACTTTGTGATGTTGAGGACTGTTACCTATAGGTTGCTATTAATGAAACATAGCACCTACCTTCTAAAGGCAAATATAATTAGAGAGCAGAAAATATATAAAAACAACGTTTTAAAAACCTGAAATTTAAAAAGATGAGGCATGCCTTTAATCTCCCATCCTTAGAAACAAGTTCTACCCAAAGTCTGGCCGAGCATTTCTCCAACAGATCCAAGACGTCCACAGGCTAAAAGAAAATTTAAGTTACCCACCACACAGAGATATCTGACATCTAGGATGAGTTATAAAACCTCACTTGGCCCCAAATCTTACAGTGGCCCAAGAATAATTTCAATCTCTAGGTTGATCCTGTAAATTTCCCAAGGTCTATTGTACCAGGTGGAGGTGAGAACAGATTACCCTTCAGCCCAGTGACTCTCGTTGCCCCAGGGTATAAATCCAGAATGGGCAGCCTTTCAGGGTCCTCAGCTGTGGTGCAAGTGGGCCACATGCAATCAAGACACCATCCAACTGGGGCAGCTTTTTTGAACCTTTGGGACTTACTTGCAAGAAATTCTAGGCTTCTGCTGTCCCTTGCTACCTCTGTAAGTAATAAACCTAGCTTTTGTAATATGTGTGCAACAGGGTTCTGTCTCACCAGATTCAGAAAAGTTAGTAACCGGTACACGCTGGCCCTGCGTCACATGCTTCAATGTCCTCTCTCAATGGAAAACTCATTAGAAAGTAATGTGATTTTTTTAAAAACCTGATAAAAACAAATGATCCCATTCTTGATTTGACAACACTCAGAATGCCTTCTTTCTTACCTTGTCTATCCTATCTGGGCGGTTAGTAGCTGCCAAAATGGTCACATCCTTTAGCTGTTCAATTCCATCCATTTCTGTCAAGAGCTGAGCCAGAACACGGTCGGCTACATTTCCAGTACCTAAAGAACTGAATTTTTAAAAATACGTTTTTTAGAAATCTGTTTGCCTAGTCCCAATACTGTATCTGTAATTTGTTAAAAAGGTCTATATTCTGTAACAAGAAAAATTATGCCTGTTTCAAAATATGAAGTGTATGTTTGTGAATTTATTGCTTATTAAATTCATATCCAAAACTAACCATATTCAAATCATTTATATTCCTCCATTGTCAAGCTTGTTCATTTTCTTTCCAAAACTGAAATGTTTAAATGGCAGACACAAAAACACTGGGTAGCAAGATACAAGATTATTTTAAATAGTTCATCAAATACATAGAAAATTGCTTAATCTAATAAATGTTTGCCTTCTACATGGCAAATATCTTGACAGAAATCGGAAAAACAAAAACTGAACAAGATATACAACAATTCTTCACATGAAGCCTAAAGTCTACGTGAAACAAAAAACTCACTACACACCCATAACAAGTGGGATAGACAGATATTTCTGATGTTTCCTTTTTTTTTTGAGTTGGAGTGTCACTCAGTCCCCCAGACTGGAGTGCAGTAGCCACTCCCGGCCACCGCAGCCTCGACGTGATGGGCTCCGGCGATCCTTCCGTCTCAGCCTTCCAAGTAGCCGGAACTACAGACGCACGCTACCACGCCTGGCTAATATTTTTTTTTTATTATTTATTGTAGAGATGAAGTCTCGTCAAGTTGCCCAGGCAGGTCTCGAACCCAAGTTGCCCAGGCAGGTTCAGGCAATCCACTCACCTCGGCCTCTCAAAGCGCGGGATGACAGGATGAGCCACTGAGCCTGGCGATGTTTCTTAATATACTTAAATATTAAGAATATTTAAGTAGCAGGGCAGTAGGTGGGCAGTCACCACAATCCCCATTTCTGGAGAAATAGGCAAAATTATTTTTCCCCTCTGGCATATGCACTAAGTCAGTTGCAAAGCTAGTACTGGACACACCACTCTTTACCGTAATCCCGTTCCCTCTGACCACAAAGAATGCCTGAATAAAGACTCTTAAGATGCGAACTAACCATTAGGTCCCTCCAATGAACAAAACCCTGTGGCCACAATCTGGATCCCCAAACGGTGCTCATTAGCTTGGACTTCCTAAGGCCTTTTCAGAACTGGGAAATGTGCAATAGGCATCTGAGTGGACGACGGTGGGTAAGCATGTAAACTCAGTCAGATGCACCTGGAGGCGGTGGTGGACAAGAGGAGGGGAAGACAGAAAGCCCTCGTCCTGGCACCTGTGAGAGAGCAAGAGCACCTCAGCACAACTACCAAGCAACACATCCAAGAACACGGCCACCCAGGTCCCCGAATAACAGTGCTTGGACCTACAGCTTCACTGTAAGGTCAGAATTGTGAAGAAGTGTATCTACAGGAGAGCAGCCTCGAATTCACACTCGTCAAGTGCACATGAGGTTACTGTAGAAGTCACAATGTGAATGTACTGATTTAAGTGGTGCTTAAGATATCTGGGGCCAAAGGGTATCTGGGAAGTCAATTGTCTTGGTGAGCTCAAATTCCTGCAGGTAGCTAATCTGCAGGTACACAGATTTGCTAATCTGACTCTACCTAAGAATCAACACTGAACACTTGAACAAATAGATGCCAGATCCTTCAAAAAATCTTTGATAACTTTTCCATAAGGGAGTTTAACTATCAAACAGGAACACTATTAGCTCTAAGAGGTCCTTCATAATTATTACAAGCATGTTAAATATTCCAGGCTGCCAATAAATTACATCTGAGGCCTGAATTGCATCTACTCTGCTAATGAGTTGCAATTCCATACTGCAAATCACTAAGGAGAATGGCACAGACAGGTCGGTCTTGGAAGAGTCAAGGCGGACTGTCCGAGGAGGGATGGCTCCTCAGCTGAAACTTGAAAAATTAGTGGATGCCAGACAGACAAAGGGTAAGAGGGAGAGAGAGGATAAAGGATGCTAAAAACTGAAAAAAAAAATACAGAATGGCTCAAACTGCAGTAAGGTGGGAATGAAAAGGATTAGAACTGAAAAATAAACAAGGCAGATTAACAAATACCTTGTTATCCAAATTATGGAGTTTGAATTTTATGCTAAAGGTAATGAGAAGTTTAAAACAGCAGCCCAGCATAATCAGATACGTCTTTCCGGGGAACACGATGGCTGCAGAGTAAAGAACAGACTATAAAGAGGGAGAACTGGCTTAGTTTCTAGTCCAACATGCTAGGAGCTAGAAAGGTTGTGCTCTGTCCTAACAAGTAAAAAATGGGCCTGAAAAATCAACAACTCTTCCTAGATCCATCAAAGAAGTACGGTCGTGAGGCATACTGCTGACCCCAAATTGAAGAGACAGGCTGGGTACAGAAAACCACAAATTTCTGGAGCAGAAACCTCCATGGGACCTGTAACTACAAACTGCTGGAGGGTGAGCGTCTGACAAGTCTGCAGTGGTAGGGAGCGCCTCACACATTTGGGAGTTTTGCCCCAGGAGCTATACCAGCTTATCACAGTGAAGATCTATCCCTCATGCCTCCAGCAGGGGAAGGAAAAATACCCATTCTGAAATGCACCAGAGAATTATATTCTTCTTAAAAAGGTCTCAAGAGATAATATTTTAGCACCGCTTACCCTACTGAGGTTTTATTAGAGCCCAACTCACTGGGAGGAAGAACACCAGCTTCAGCCCTCTCTAGCCTTTTACATGGAAGAGAGAAACACAACTACAAGCCCCATCTAGTCATCCCTTCAGCCTCAGGCAGGGACAACTGTGAAGTTCACAGTCAGGAGCACAGGCTCACCAAAAGACACACGTTGCAGTTAAATCACCTATATTTCTACATTTGTTTCCTTTGGTAGTCAAAAGCAAGACTTTTCCTTTAAAAGGGGAGGAAAGGTCCCTAACCCCAGACATAAAATGTCACTGAATAAATGGTTGGTATCCCTCCTACATCCCTGCTTATTTGAAATTTAAAAACCAGAATAGTTCCTGAAAGACTGACTCAACTCTGGACTATATATGCCAGCAGCTTAAATCAAAATTGTGGGCAAAATCAGGGAGACTAAATGAAACCAATTTAAGATGACCACTTACTCCACGTGTAATGAAGAACACCTCTAACTCATAACCATGAATGATCACACCATATAGTACACTTGGAATATTTTCCAAGAAAACAAGGATAATCTCATTACCATTAAAAATAAGGTTAGCCAGGGCTAATACTAAATTTGAGTAGCAATAAAAATCTCAATATAGACTTTCCTAGGTGGTAAAATTTCAAAGGAAAATTTTTAAAATTATAGTAGATGCCAAGAAAATGAGCTATTTTTTAAACAAGTTTTTATAGATTTATTATTAGTAAAACATATATATATAAAAGTTTTAACTTCTCAGATTTTAGAAGAGCAAAAAGTTTGAATACATCTGAAGGCATTCCAGGCCGGATGCCATGGCTTATGCCTATAATCCCAGCTACTCAAGAGGCTGAGGCAGGAGGACTGCTTGAGGTCTGCAGTTCGAGACCAGCTAGGGCCACAAAGCAAGACTTTATCTCTAAAGAAATGAAAAAAGTAGTTGGGCAAACTGAAGCTAGGGACCACTTGAGCCCAGGAGTTTAAGGCTGCAGTGAGTCATGATTGTGTCACTGCACTCCAGCAAGACCCCAACTCAAACTAAACTAAAATAAAATAAATAAAAAATAAAATAGATGAAAAAAGTATAGGGACTCATGTTTCAAACATCTTCAAAAAACTAAGTATAGCATGTTGATTATAATTAATATTAACACAGAGAGTACCAAAAATGTATACACATTTTAAGAAAGGACAAAAGTATTAAAATTGTAACACTCAACATATGCCAATAACAAAAGATGAATACAAGTCATGTTTGACTTCTACAATTACAAGAGGTGCTCAAGGTGGTTGCCAGCAGCATTCAGACACTTCTGACTGCAGTGAACATCTCGTAACAGCTCTTAAAGTGTGTATACATTCTGTTGGCATCCCCGGCACACTGCATACTTGAACACTGCTGAGAGAGCAGACTTCACATGTTCTCACCACACACCAAGAAATGGTGAGCATGACAGGTGATGAATGTGCTAATCAGCTAGATTTAATCATTTCACATGCACGCTTATATCAAAACACCCGTTGTACACCATAATTTTTTGTCAATTTAAAAACAGAAAAATAAACCTTAAATATAAAAGGCCAAATAAAATCTGCTAATATTACAGTAATATTTATCTACAGAACACATCTTTGTCCCTAAGGTTTTTTCTTCCATAAACAAATGTAATCGTTTTAATAAATCATTTCCAACATCACCAAACTCTTAAAGTAATGAAAGCCATGTTAGACTAGACTTAAAAAAAAAAAAAAAAAACCAGAGACAAGCAAAATTCTATCATATTCCCCATACTGCATTTTCCTGTAAACAGCAATCTGAATACTTAAAATTCCAGCTATGTTATCCAGCTGACAATAACATGTAATACATATTTTAAAAGCTATTAAGATCAATAATTTTTTTAAGATCTCCTGCTCACTTTATCAGGTTAATTTAAAAATAATCTTCTCAACGTGGTATCTGAACTCCCACAAACAAAACTGAACTCCTGTATCTGATAAATCATTTGTTTGCAGCACTGTCAGAGCCCAGTAAATAGCTCTGTGTACAGCAGGCAGATCTCCCGTGGTTCATTTAGAGCCTTAGAAGGTGGAGACACCGGGCTCGGTGGCTCAGCCTGTAATTCCGCGCCTTTGGGAGGCTGAGGTGAGTGGATTGCCTGAGCCTGAGGGTTTGAGACCCGCCTGGGCAACTTGGCAAGACCTCATCTCTACAATAAATCAAAAAATCAGCCGGGCCTGGTAGCGCATGCCTGTAATTCCGGCTACTCAGAAGGCTGAGGCGGAAGGATCGCTGGAGCCCAGCAGGCGAGGCTGTGGTGGCCGGGAGCGGCCACTGCACTCTAGTCTGGGCGACAGATTGAGACTCCAACTCAAAAAAAA